TTCTTCTCACCATCTCTATTCCAACTCCCTGACCAAGCCAACAGCCCTGCTCTGTGGGAAGTGGCTTTGTCTATCTGTCCATTGTTCTATCCTTTCTGCCTGGAATGGTGCTTGGCACATAGTAGGCAGTCGGTAAATATTTGTGGATTAAGTTATTGAATGCCTTAGATTTTGCTATTCACATTAGACACAAAAAGGATTCTATTTCTTGATAAACAAATGATTTCACAACTGTGAAAATAATAATAACCAACATTTTTTGAACACTCAACATGTGCTACACCTCTCACCTGTGGCAGGAAGATGCTGGATGAGATGAACGAGTTTCAGAGAAGTAGGAAATTGTCCACGGCCAACATCTAGGGGTTGGTGGAGTACATATTTGAAACATATTCATTTATACAACTCATCAAGTGTTTGTTGAGCACCAATCATGCACCAGATATTGTTTTGGAAGAACAAAATAGACAAGTTCCTTACTCTAATAGAACTTGCATCCTAGTAGGGAGAGAAATGCAGGAAATGAAATGTATTTGTGTGACAGGTGCTATAAGAAAGCAAGCTGAGGAAACAAGGAGTGATGGGGCATGCTCTCTGAGGTAGGACTATCAGGAAAGATCTCTTTGGGGAAGTGGCCTTTGAGCAGAGATTTGGATGAAGTGTTGGGGGACGCCATATAAATATGTGGATGAAGAGCAAAGACTCTGAGGTCAGCAAGCTTTGACATTTTTGTGTGACAGCAAGGAAGCTAGTGTGGCTGGAACCCTGAAAGTGAAAGGCAGAATTTTTAGAGAGAAGTGAAAAGATGTGGAGGGAGGCCAAAGGGACCAAAGGCCAGTGGAAGAATTTGGATTTTACCCTGAGTAAAGTGGGAAGCCATTAGTAGGCTTGAGCAGAGGAGAGACATGATCTGACTTAGGATAGCTCTGGCTGCTGGGTGGAGAAAGGCCTGGAGAGGGGCAAGAGTGGATACAGAGAGACCCATTTGAGGATCTCTCTTGGCCAAGCCATGGTACCCAGTTGTCTAGTCTAGATGTTGCTGTGAAGATATTTTTTTAGATGCTATTAATATTTACAATCAGTAGACATTAAGTCAATAACATGGGCAGGCTTCATCCAATCGGTTGAAGGCCTTAAAAACAAAGACTGAGGTTGCTCAAAGAAGGAGGAATTCTGCCTCAAGACTGCAACATAGAAACCCTGCCTGAGTTTCCCACCTACTGGCCTGCCCTACATATTTCAGATTCAAGACTGCAACTTCAAGTCTTACCTGAATCTCCAGGCTGCCGACCTGCCCTACAGATTTCAGACTTGCCACTCCCAACAATCAAATGAGCCAATTACTTACAATAAATCTAGATAGATAGACAGATAATAGATAGATGATAGAGATAAATATAGAAAGATAGAGATAGATAGATATAGATAGGTAGACAACAGAAAGATAAATATAGAGAGATTGAGCTAGATGATAGAGAAATGTAGATAGATAAATATGGATAGATAGATAGATAGATAATAGGAAGGATAGCATAGGATATATAAATATATAATAGGATAGGAGATATATATATATATGATATTGCTTCTGTTTCTCTGGAGAATCCTGACTAATACAAGGCTGTTGCAACAATCCATGAGACCAATGGTCAATGGTGATAGCTTGGACTTTGGTGATAGCAATAGAGATAGTGAGACATGGTTAGAGTCTAGAAATATTTTGAAGGTAGAGCCAACTGGATTTATTAACGAATTGAATTTGGCAAAAGAAAGAAAGAGAGGCATCAAGAATGACTCCCAGATTTTTGGCCTAAGCAACTGGGTAAAAGGTAGTACCATCAAGTAAATAAATGAGTCTGAGCTGAGAAGGGAGGTCAGGCTTGGGAGTGAATAGGGTACCAATGACATTAAAGTCCTTGAGATGGGAAAGATCACCAAGGGGCTGCCTATGGACAGAGGAAAGTGGTCCAAGGACTGAGCCCTGGAACCCCTGGGGCATCCTAAGATCTAGAGGTCAAGAAGAGAAGGAAAAACCAACAAAGGAAACTGATAAGATGAGCCAACGAGATATGCCGGAAATCTGGAAAGCTTGTGTCCCAGAAGCCAAGTGGAGAAAGTGCTTTATTCCAAGAAAGATGGAGTGGTCAGCTGTGACAAGCACTGCTGGGGAAATGGTCAGTTTGGGGGGCATGGAGAGTCACAGGCTCTGGGGTACTGCAGCAGTGGGCACTGGGCAGAGAATCCAGTGTGGAGAGAAGAGCAAACACACACACACACAAGCAAATGTCACTCGCTCTGCTATTGTATCTGAGGTTTCCACACAAATGCTGGAGTCCAGGCTGGTGTGATAGTCACTTCCCATGTCCCTAAAGAAGGAAGTGCCCTGAGAAACGTCAATGTATGCTGGCTGAACGGGAGCGGCAGGCAAGGATTTGCGTCTGTGGACAAGTTGGTTTTGATGGATAGTGGGTCATTCATGAAGAGATTAGGAAGAGCTGGTGGAAACATGAATTTGAGCCACGTTAGGCAGATGGGGAAGTCACATCGTGTTCCCAGAGAAAGAGTAATGTGTGACGGGCCCTGGCTAGAGGAGCTGGAAGGCAGAGAAGGGAAGGAGACTATAGCCACAGGGGTCTCTATACCCTACAGATTTGTTCCCTGTCCCTTGGCGTGGGGCCAATGGGGCTGAGCTTGCTCTGGTGGAAAGAGCAAGGACTTGAGAGTCAAAGAGCAGAACTGTTCCAGCCGTAGGTTCAGAGGTGGGGCTGGTCGGGGAGGGCTCCATGGAGGAGAAGCAGAGAAACCAGCAGTCACTGCATGGTCCCCAGGGGCCAGGCACATGCTGGGGAGACGGTCAACCTGGGGACAGGGAGTCACAGGCTCCTTTAGGATGCAGTTGTGCAGTTTTTCCTCACAACAGCCACTATGACGTTCTTCATTATTTTCCTCACTTACTGACAAAGAAACAGAGGCTCAGAGAAACTAAGTAGCATACCCAAGTTCACACAGTTGAGAAGTGCTGGGGCCTGGGTTTGAATCCAGAGGTCCTTGCCTCCAAGGCCTGTGTTCCTTTTCCTCAGCTTATGGCTGAGCAGAGGCAAGAATTCCAGAGATAAAACCTGCTCTTCCCTCTTACTGGCATGGTGCTTGACCTTGTTGGGCCTCTGGTTACTCATCTGTAAGATAGAGGTGACCATCACACCCATCCTAAAGGATTAAATGGGATTATGCCATAAAATAGCAGTGCAGGGGCCGGCCCCATGGTGTAGTGGTTAAGTTCTCATGCTCTGCTTCAGTGGCCCGGGGTTCGCAGGTTCAGATCCCAGGTGCAGATCTAGCACCACTCATCAAGCCATGCTGTGGCTGTGTCCCACACACAAAATAGAGGAAGCTTGGCACAGACGTTCACTCAGTGGTAATCTTCCTCAAGCCAAAAGAGGAAGATTGGCAACAGATGTTAGCTCAGAGCCAATCTTCCTTACCAAAAAAAAAAAAAAGAAATAGACCCCAGCATTGCACCTAGCACACAGTGCATGTTCAAGAAATGAAAGCTATTATTACTGAGGATGATTTTCAATTTACAGATGAGAAAGCGTGTAAGAGTCCATTAATTTCTTCATACTCTAAAGAATAAAGACTGAAGTCTGGATTCAAAGTAATAGGAAAAACCAAATTTCGCTCAAGCATTTTTCCATTTCATCCCAAGATAAGAAAGAGGGAAATGGGTATTTCAGATAGGTGGAATACGTCAGCGAGGCATGAGATGAGATAGGCATGTGCGAGTAGAGTTGATCTTGAGAAGTGCGATGACATCAGATTTTAGTCACAGGTTGGAGTGGACTTTAAATACCTAACTGGGGTCTCCGGGCTTCAATTCAATGTTGTGTATAGGATGCCTACCACATATCAGGCTCCATGCCGGGCAGAGCTGAGCCCTGGCATGGGCACTGTTTACAGCTGCCTGGGTTGGCAGTGGCGATAACACCCTTGTGGACTTTGCCCTGACCCAACCTTTAACCTGTCCCAACCTTCAATCATGGAGGTAGCGGGTTATGCATTGCCCAGAAGGCAACTGTGAGATTAAGGGATCTGCTATAGCATGTGTTACCCATGAGACCAGGGCGAGTTCAAGTGGGCCCGGGCCCATCACTCTCACAGCAACCTCATGTGGTGGGTTCTATCATTATGCCCATTTGATGGAAGAGGAAACTAAGGCTCAGTCAGAATTGATATGACTTGCCAAGACCACAGAGTGGCAGTAGGACCAAGATTTGAACCCAGGTCATTCTGTCTTCAAATCTGGTGCTCTTTCCTCCATGCTGGGTTAGGCTATTGGCTTCTGAAAGACATGGACAGGTGAGATGGGTCAAACATAGCCTGAGGGTACTCAGGCACCAGTGGGAGATGGCAGGCAGAGGCAGGTTGAGGGTCCAGGCGGGGACGGATCAGGATGGTCCTTAAACTGAACTGGGGAGAAGGGGTGGGAAGATATGTGGCTCTGGGGGTGCAAAAAGCCCTGAGATCAGCCCTGTATCTGCCCACCTTGCCCTGGACCAGCCTGTCAGTCTGCATCCTTTGCCCAGAGAAAGGACCATGGGCTGACCTGGGTCAAAGACACCTGAGTCCCTGCTCTGCCATTGACTAGCTCCGTGACCTGGGGCAAGTCACTTTAACTCTTGGTTCTCACTTTCCCTGTCTGTAAAATGGTTTTTCCAGCATTCCAGTCACACAGGTGTCTTGAGGAGTGAAGGAAAGTGGTGTGGTCCAAGGTCCTCCCGCAGACCTCCACACATAGCAGGCCCTTGACACACAGGATCACCCTCCTGCATGCTCTGGGCCTCTCTGCCCTCATAACCCCAACCTCCTTCCTGGGAACTGGCTCTAGGCTTGTCAGAGAGCCAGCAAGCTGTCAACCCCACCCCAGCTGGCCAGTTAATGAGTGATCAGGGTGCTGGAGCCTGGCCTATAAAGAACTGCTAGCCAGGGCAGCAGGTAGGAGGCAGGTGGATAGCTGCAGTGGGATACAGAGGGAGCGAGATGCACAGCAGGATGGTGTCATGGCTCCTGCCCGGCATAGCTGTGGTCTTCCTAGTGCTGCTGCAGAGCACACAGTCAGTCTACATCCAGGTGAGTCCCTCCAACCAGTCTACCCTTTGCCTGAAGGTCTGCACAGTGGGAGGCTGGGATGTAGAAGGGATGCTGGGAAATTCATAGAGAACAAAGGAGCACAGGACCCAGAACTCAGCCCAACACACAATCACAGCTCAAGGCCCCAGACAGCCGATGGGTGGGGGCAGCTGGAATGCTGATGGCAATGATGACGGTGATGATAACAACAATAAACTGCTGTTATTCAGCATTGCTCTGCTCAAAGGCCGATCCTGGTCAGAGGTCAGAGTGTGGAATAAGATGTGGTCCCTGCCCTTGAGGAGCCCAGAATGGGAGGAAGACCCCTTATAAAAGCTCCCACAGCTCTATATTCACCCATGTCTGGGTGGAGGGGCGATAATCACCAGAAAAAGTTTCCCTGGCAGGTAACTCAGGAAGTGACATTGCAGGATAAGCAGGACGTAGCCAGGCACAGAGGACGCAGACTGCCCAGGCAGAGGGTGCAGCTCTTGCAGAGGCTGAGTCTCCTTCCAGGGCACCTGTGAGGCCGGAAGGAGTTGTGGAAGCGGGGCCTGCCTGCAAGGTGGCAGGATAATGCCTCTGGGCTTGCAGGGAAGTCTGTGGCCCTGGGTGTCACATTCCTGACTCTGGGCAGGGCCTCCTAGGGAAGGAACAAAGAGGGTCTTGGAGAGCTATGGGGGAGAGTCCGCCTCCCCCTGCAGCCCTGGCCCTGGAGCCCAACCAGCTTGGGGTTCCCAAAATTTTGCCATATGGGTTCAGGGGAGATGACCCAGTTACCAAGTGTGCCCTGGGTACCAGGCACCCAGGGAGGAGCAGAGCCAGATTATCTCCCTTTGTCAGATGAGGTTCAGAATGCGGAAGAGCTGGGATTTGAACCAGAGGCCCCTGGTCTCCAAAGCCTGTGCCTTGAACTCTGCGCTGCACAGCATGCTATCACCTATCACCTACCAGTTTCTGGGGGCCTGTGGCACAGCAGTGTGACATGTCAGTCACCACCTCCCACCTCGAAGACTGTCTCTTGAGTGTGGCCTGGACTTTCCTTGAGAATGTGGAAGGCTCTGGGGTTCCGAGGAACCCAGATCTCCCAGGCCACGTTTTGACACCCTCTCCTCTCCTCTCCCTCCATCCCCCCAGTACCAAGGCTTCCAGGTCCAGCTGGAATCGGTGAAGAAGCTGAGTGACCTGGAGGGGCAGAGGGTGCCCAACCCCCATCTCCGGGCTCAGGGCCTCGAGCCGTCCGTGTGCCTCCACCCAGACCTGCCACAGGACCTCCAGCCAGTCTGCGCCTCCAAGGACGCTGCCAGCATCTTCAAGGCCTTGAGTAAGTGCCCCACCCTGCAAAGCTTCCTGCCCCTCATTCTCTCTCCTCCCCATACCCCAGCTCACTATCCTGTTGTTTCTACTAAGCACTCAGTGGCTGAGGACAGGACGATTCAAGAAACTTAGCCTCCTGGCCTCTCAGTTTGGGCACTGAAAGTCAGGCATATCCCATTGGTCCCCGACAACCCAGCCGGTTGATCATCCTTCCTCCAGAACTCCCCAGCCGGGGAGAAGGGACCCAGAAAAATGACTGCAATGCAGTGGGATGATGGGGGAAGCACAGTGGGGGCACAGAGGAGAGATGGCTCACATCTGGGGTGGCATAAGGGGTCTGAAAGGCTTCCAAGAGGAGGTGATATCTAGGCTAAAACATGAGGGCTGAAGCAGAGTTGGCTATGGGAATGTAGTGACTAGCTAGCATTTATTGAGCACCTACTAAGGGCCAAGCCCTATGTCAGCCCCTCAGCCTTCATTCTCTCCTCACAACCACCCTGTCGGGCTGATGTTGTCCATGAAGCAGACAGGAACACTCAGGCACAGAGTTTAAGGAAGGCACCCAGGCACCGCTAGGACAGAGAGGACGTGGGACTTGAGCCTAATTCGCTCACTCTACTTCTGAAGTTTCATCCTCCTGATCTGTAAGATGCCAGGCCCCTCCCTCAGGCTCTCTCCTAAGCAGGGCTTCTTGGGCCGCCTGGCCAGCAACTCCCTGGACCACAGATGTCTCAGGTTCAGCTGACCCGTTCTTTCCTCTGCCCAGGGACCATCGCTAACGATGACTGCGAGCTGTGTGTGAATGTTGCCTGTACTGGCTGCCTCTGAGATGGCTCCATGTGCCCTGAGGCTGCCCTGGACACCTTGCCCCCCAGCCCACTGCCTCCTCAGCCCCAACCCCCTTCCAAGCTCTGAGTGGGCCCTGGCCACTGCAGTCATTGCCACCCTCCCAGGGCCTGAGCAGCTGGATCTGGTGCAAAGCAGTTGGACATGTGTGGAGGAGAGATTGACCCCTGAGACAGCACTGCTGCTGAATAAAGATTCTCCACTCACAGAGTCATGCATCCATTTGTTCATCCCCAGGAACCAGGGGCCGAGCTTCTTGGGAAGCTGGATGGGTATAGGAGAAAGGTTGCACTAAAAAATCAGGGATTGCCCTGGTTTCTGGAGCCTAAGGAGTTGGTTCTTCAAGCCCTATTTCATATAGGAGGGAGAAATACTCAGAGCAGGAACGAATAGCCTAAGATCACACAGCTGAGAAGCCACAGAGCACCCAGATCCATCTAACCCCAAAGGAGGCGCTCACGGCCTGGCCCAGCTTCTGTGCTCCTGACCCTGGGGTAGAGGAGCCTTCCTCCAGTAGGTGGGACTGCAGGAGTGGGTGGAGGGAAGAAGCATGTTGTGGCCCCTCCCCAGGCCCATAGTCGGGGCTGACTTTGCCATAAGCCTGTCTGAGAAGACGGGCCCTTTGCCTCACCCTTACCTTCCCAAGCACCCACCCTTGTCAGCTCCCTGGAACCATCTGGCCAGCTCCAGATAGAAAACCTTTCCTCCCTCTCTCCATCCTGATGGACTTGAGGAGTGTTAATAATAATAACCAATGCTTATTGAGCATTTTCTGTACCCTCAGCACTATTCTAAACTCTTGGCACATAGTGACTCACAGAGTCCTCACTCAGTCTAATAAAGCAAGTTCTATTATTGTTACTGTAGGGGAGGAAGACAAATTTTCTACCCTTTAGTTCCTTCTGGCTGGGTCACAAATTTAATTGACATGAGACAGAATAACAGGAGAAAATAAAACAAAGCTTTATAACATGTATACCAGGAGGCATTCAGGAAAACTGAGTAATTTGCCAAAATGGCAGAGGTTCTCATCTTAAATACCATCTTCAACTACAATGGAGGATGTTGGGGGTGGGGATAGTCAGTTATGGGAGATTACCAGAAAAGCACAGTAAACAAGAGTAAGGTTATTATGCAGATTTAAGTCCTTGCTTTCCACGTTGATAAGAGTTTCTAGAGATAAAGTCATCCTCCCTTCCTCCTGGTAGAGACAGGAAGATATCCTTACAGGTGGAGATGTCTCTTACAAAGGGTAACTTCCACTTCTACTGGGTTTTCACAGCTTCTCCCATTTATGCAGTTTTTAAAAGTAACCAGCCCAAAATAATCCTCATCCCAAAGAGACACATTTTGGGGTGACCAATTCTGATCCCCCACAGTCCTGCCCTTGAAACTTTAAGAAGTTTCACAGTCCTTCAAAACTTTAAGAAGTTTCATAGTCCAGAAGCTGAGTGGTAGATTGTTCCATCTCACTGAACACATTTCTTAGTCCTGTTAGTAGATCAGTCCAGTTAAATTCATTTTGGAAGGTGGTGATGCAGGTGGGCTCCCAGAGTTAGACCTATATTGTGGAAGTAAGCAATCAGGTACTTAATAAGAAGTATTTCTATGGAAATAAAAAGAAAAACAAGGTTAATCATTAGAGCAAGTTATAAACAAGTTTCTGAGCCCAAGGGGCAGCCAGTCAAGAAAATTTTCAGATATCAGGCTCAAGGCATCCTTTGCAGTTTGAAATGTCTCTGATGATGTCATTGGGTGTTCAGGTATCCTTTTGAGTGGCTTACATAGCAACAAGCATGTTATCAAGGTGATCTTTACAAAGTTGGTATCAAGTTATCCAGCTTCAGTTTGCAGGTTTCCAGGAACAAGTGTGGTTTTAGTTCTCAATGATTTCAAATAAAAATGATGGAAAAAATTGAAAATGCTAGATTTGTAGCCAGATATTTCAGGAGACTAGAAGAATTCAGGATTCAGTCCAGTTTACAGGTAGAAAACAAAAACTTCAAAGATAATTAACAGAACTAGGATCTAATATCCACAAATGTGTACTATAGTTTTTACTGAAATATAATTTTTCTCTCTAAAATCACCCTTATCTTTACCAAAGATAGCAAAATTAAGACTAACTTGTTTGTAAAATAAGTTTAGTTTCAATATGTTTGGCCCAATTATTTACCTAAGTATGGCAAGAATAGCAATTGATCATATAGGCTCCTTTAAACCTGCTTTGCTGGAACATTTTATAAGGAATTTCAGATGGAACTTTAAAGGCCTTTCAATGCCAGGAAAGTCAAGGACTTATCAGACAAAGCCTGCAATACCTACAGATTTGGGTGAATTTTTTCTCTCCTCAAGGTCCCCAAAATATTTCAAGGTTCCAGGCACCTGCCAGATAAGTGACCTTCCTTACTTATCCAGTCAGATTCCTGTGAACCCTGTAAACAAGGTACCAGGCCAATACTTCCAAGTGGCTTTATTCCATAAAGTCCAATCTTTGTTTCTCAAAAGCTCTCTGGTTATATCTGAGTCTATGCATGTTTCCCTCAAATATGACATTCCAGTCAAATCTTTGGTAATATAACCAATGTTTCCAATTGTGCCCTGTTATAAAGAGAACAGATTCTTATTGAACTTACGCAAATAACTACATTGCCATGAAAATAACAATACTCACTAAGAGTTTCCAAATTCTGAAAGGTAGGGAGAAAAAGATAAATGTTTCAATTTTGCTTACAAAAGTATAATTTGCCAAATTGCTATGTCATAATTAGCTAAAAAGAAAAAAATTTTCCTTAAATCTGAAAAAACATTTTTAAAAATCAGCAATATTTTAAACAAAAAGTCATAAAAATTAAAATCTCCCCATCAGTTCATTCAGTCATGTGTAATCACTCTTGATCTTGATCTTTGTTAGCAGTTTCATGAAGTCATCAGTTTTTCATTAGAGTTCTGTAATTTCTTACCCAGTTTTACAATCTGAAAGTTTATCAGAACCCTGAATTCCAGGGTAAATGTCAGAGCCCTTTGCGTGAATCTCTCTGAAGATGAAAACATTTGTAAAAGCATCAGAGTAAAACAATAACTGTCTGTAAATGACAAAAGACTTCAAAATGGCAATTGACAAGGCAACTTGGTTATTTCTGTGACATACAATACTTTAAGATAATAACTAGAATTATGAGTGACAACCAGGACAGAATAGAATTTTTGGAATGTTATATAATTTATAAAACACTTACATCAATAACATTTACCCACATAATACCATAGGTTCCTTTGAAACAATGTTTAGTTATACATTTAATCATAGTGACAATTAAATATTTTCAGGCAAATGCCTGAATATTAAATAGCTGTAGGCAAAATTAAATAGCTGTAAGAAAAACCTTAGCATCTGTGATTAAATATCTGATTAAAAATATAGGAGATTTATTTTAATAAAACACAAAATCTCTACCCTTCTGGTAGATTACTCAAAGATAAAAACCTTTCATAATCTCTTTACCAAGAGCAAATGATAATTTCAAAAATTATCCTTTTAAAAGAGGGGAAAAACCAAATTCTAATTTTGTACCAGCTTACTTTTGATATTAAAACTTATTTACTTAATTAATTTCATTTTAATTTTAGCCAACTTGACCATGCACAAGACTCTTTTCAGAATTTCTCTTTCACAAACTTTCTATAACTTCCTTTTTACATTCAGAATTTATCCCACACCTCTTTTTTTTTCTTTCTAGTGCTTTAGGACAAATTTATCTTTCTTACCAAAAAAACATTTCCATTCTTTATACCTTCTTTACTGAAAACATATATCTTACTTTCCTTGGATACGAACACATTTTCTTTATTAATTTCTAGTAGCTTTAATCACATATTGGAATTTTTAACCCTTAGAAACTTTAATTTTTATGTAAAAACTAAGAAGCAAGCAATTATAAACTTTTACATTAGCGTTCTGTGGCTTGACAACTTTATAAATACTTTTTACAATTTTAGAAACATGTTACTTTACAGTACAATCTTTTAATAAAATGCAAAATATGTTTACCAATAGACCCAAACACCTTTTAGTTTCTCTGTAATAAGACAAAAGTAGGTAAACTTATATTTAGTAATTAATGTCTAATATTTTATCTTATTTGGAAATGATCTAGATACTCAACGAATTTCATCATTTAAATTAACCTAGCAAAACTTCAAAGTTTTAAGTTACCAAAGAGATTTTGGAAGTTATCTTAAATAAATGTCATAACACATAATTATTATTAAAAATCTCACCCAACACTTTATCTTTTCCACATCTACTTAGTTTACCTGTTTCCAATAGTTATTTAGATTGCCTAAAAGGCTTTGAGGCATCAGACAAAATCAGCTATCATTTTAAGTTATGATTTTTGTTGACCAGTTTTGTAATAAATAACATCAGCTTATTTGACTAGTAAACCCAGGCTTCATGTCTGCATCATATCAAATCCTGATAACTTTAAGGAAATGTCTATTTTAATCAAACTGACAAACTTAAACAAGCTTCATTCACCAGGGATTATTTCATATAAATGCTAACTTGAAAGACATGTAACCACCTACTTTAAGTCAATTAAACAGAGCTCTTAATTTTGGCCATACCCTCTGGAGGTAAAATATCACACATATAGAACATACATATAGACACACATAAACAGGTAGACACAGACAGGGACGTTAAATTTCTGTTATGAATCAGGTGCAATACAAAACTCACTAGAATCTGAGAAACATATGAATTTCAAAGAATGGCTCTTAGGTCCTAGAGAAGATGGGAGCATAAAATCTACATCATAAAGACTTAGAGAAAGCATCCAAGTTTTCTTCCAGATGGAGTTTCCAGGGCATATCTGCCTTATCAGTTTATAATGTCTCAATCTTTTGTCTCAATATCTCGGAGCATCTTGAGGAACAGGGGAGGCTTTGAGTTGGCAAAAGACAAGTGGGCTTTGAGCTGCTTTCTAGAACCATACCTCCAGTCTTGTAGAGATTTGTATGACAAAGACGGTAGTTTCCAGTTCCCCAAAGATCTGGATTACAGTGTCAACATAAATAATCCATAACCAATCTATAAATCAAAATTGGGGTGAGTTTATTATGAGCTAGATCTGAGGACTAGCCTGGGGCCTTCCTTCCCCAAGGAAGGAAGGGCACCAAAGAAGTGGGATGTACAGAGTGGTTAT